TTCTATTTTTTTTTTTTTTTTGTTTTTCCTTCAAGAATACTTTTTTATCGAGTGATATTTTTCTAAATTAAAACGGATATAATAAATGCGGAAAGTTTAAACCTCTGTTTTCTAAACTTGATTTTTAAAATCTTACATAAATTTGAATTCAAATTAGAAAAATACCAGATAAATTACAGTCTCTCATTCATAATCAATTTTCATTACGTAACATACACGGTATTTTTGTTTGCATGATTACACGAGTGAATTATATATGAGAAACAAGAGATAATTTTTTAAAATTCAAAATTCAACAACAAGGTTTTAGACGCTCGCTTCATTCTATATTATTACACACGATTTGTAATGGTACAACAAATTTTTTTATTTACTTTAACGTAATTTATATTTATTAACACTTTTTTAAAGAATTTCACCGAAGAATCTCCGTTTAATAATTTATTTCATACATAAAAAAAATTGACGACAATGTTAAAAATAAAAAGACCTTGTAAAATAATTATATCTTATTTAAATTTTTTTTTTTTCCTTTATTCCTATCTGATATCACATTGAACCAATGTTTGATAAAAAATACGGAAATATTTAATACGATATAATATAAATTGCTTTATTTTTTAAAATATAATTTAACAAAAAAAAAACCGGTTAACAGCGCAACAAAGTTTTTGTATTTATTTAAAAATACAATTATTCCGTTTCTCTTTTTTTTTTTTTCTTGTTGAATTATCGCGTTTCAGACTGCTGATTAAAATTTTGAATTTTATTTTTTTCGTTTGTATAAACGATTAATAAATATCGTTACAAAACTTTTTCCATATTTCTTGTAATTCGCGAATTATAACGTAGAGTCGAAAAATAATCGAATTTTCGAGAGCTGATTTCAAAAAAAAAAAAAAAAAAAAAAAAAGAAATATTTATATAAACACTATTCCCAAAATTTTCGCAATTTCTTTGAATTTCTGGATTAAATATCCTTTCCTCCTGTCAGTTACAATTTATCGAATTATTCTTCGATAATGAAATGCATTTATTAGATTGCAACGAAAGATAAATATTTCATTTCTTATTGTTATGCACGTATGAAAAGTTTTTATTGTCATCAAAATTAAATTTCATAAATGTATTCGTGTGTGTCTTACGTTGTGCTCACATTCTAGGTCGA